TAGGAGGAGAGGAGGAGGAGGGAGGAGGAGGAGGAGGAGGAGGAGGAGGAGGAGGAGACAGGAGGAGAGGAGGAGGAGGAGGAGGAGGAGGAGGAGGAGGAGGAGGCGGAGGAGAAAAAGGAGGTGGAGGAGGAGGAGGAGGATGGCTGGGACCGTCTGGGCTGGACCGTTCAAAGCAGATCTTTTTCTACTGCTCGCTCTGGACTTTGTCCGTCACCATGGACAAGTTCGGGAAGTCGAAAGCGGACTCGAGCACAGGTTCGACGCCAAAGGATACGAAGCTGAAGGTAGCAGAGTCAGAAAACGAGAAAGAGGAAGTGGATAATGAGGGCATAGAGGAAGGATATGTGGACATGCGCGCGAACGAAATGTGAAATATATGATGATCCGGATGAAGGATGTGAGAGAGGCCATGAAGGGCACGAGGAAGGATGTGAGTGAGGTCAAGGACATAGCCAAACAGGCCAAGTTATCCGCAAACATGGCTGGACAGCATGAAGAGGGATTTGCCAATACAGTGAATAATGTCGTGAAAGAGAAGGCTGAGTTCAAGGCCGTCCGGGCGAGGCCTCCAGTCGCACCACTGGCGGAAGGCGAGAAGATCGACGCCGAGAGGCAAGCGGAATCGCACAATCAATTCTGGACAGTTCCCGCAGGACACGAAGGTGGATGAAAGCATTAAGTTCATTGACAACCAGTTGGAGGATGTGAAGGAGGAACTACTATCAAACCGCATAGTACGGATGGGCAAACTTCCCAAGGGTACCCTTGCATCCTTGCCTCCTCGGTCCATCCTTGGTTGGCCACTTTTGTTGGCCGCGCCCCGCTCGAAAAGCTTCGACACGGGCGTCCAAGGTCCTTGCATCCTCATCGCGCATCCTTATGATACGGGCCGACTGTGGAGGAGGTGCTTGCCTGTGGGAGGAAATTTTCAGAACGGGCAGATGCGTGTCTCAGATCGTCAGATGGTATGCGAAAGAACACGCAGGACAGAGCAGAGAAGCGAGTCTACAATTTCAACGGCGCGACGGTGTGTTGCCAGACGGAGTCCAAGCACGACCCCGGCTCAGACGACGCGAGACGGGAACGTGCAGTACAGAAAATGGTCCGGATCATTATTGAAGCCTTTGTGGGAGACGGGAGTGAAACAAGACAACATGTTGATACATACTGCCGGAAGCGTATAGTCTGGCGGAGGGAAGCGGGTGGTTGCAACATGGAATTTTCTGGACAGATTGATTGCTGCGTGGAATTTGACAAGCTCAATTCCCGGGAATAGGACGCAGCGGTATCAACAAGGGGGGGGAGTGGGACGTATCATAATGTATGCTGGGATGTTCCGTTCCCAGTGGTTCCGCAGAGGAGGGCCGACGATTTTGATTTGATGCACTTGAGACGCCTTCTGCTTGTTCTCTTTGCTAGCTCGCGCGACCAGACAGAGTCGGACAGTCTCAGCTTCACGATATCGAGTCGGCTATTGGGCTTAGCCATATGCAACGGGTGCGAAGCGCTCTAGTGGAGTTGGTCGCACGGATTCGTTTGAGCGCTCGGGATCCCGATATAATTTGTGTCACGGAATTCCTTCCGTGACCGAGCTGTTGAATGTGTGGATTTTGACAGAGCGAAGCGCAGAACTTCGAGCACGTGGTCTGGCGCTGCGAGGCGGAGACCAGGCCTTTGGATCGACCACAGGCTGCGCTGCAGCGGCGCCTCCTCTGGCCGACCGTCCTGAAACGCAGGGAGGAGGTGGACGCTGGCCTGCTTTTGCGATCCGTCGCCACAAGGCAAGCGATCCTGGAAGATCGCCACGGAAAGAGGCCCCCCGAGGGCGCTGGCACCGCGCCGCCAGGAAAGTGAGGGCAGGGTGCCGAGGTAGAGGAAGCGAGGAGCCAAAGGGAGGGAAGGAGAGAGCCGAGGGGTTGGAGGAAGAGGAAGTAGAGGCAGAGGCGAGAGGACTAGCAGGGATGAGTCTGTATGTATGTATGTATGTATGTATGTATGTATGTATGTATGTATGTATGTATGTATGTATGTATGTATGTATGTGTATATATAGGAAACAGGAAGTACATGTGCAATGTCATGAAGTTTCCCATATGTGCACTGGCATGACGTTGCTGCGTAATCAGTCAACCACGCACGGCAGGAAAGGGCGGAGGGATATGATGAATAATCTGCAGAGGCAAACAAGAGAAGACAAGCAATCCAGGAAGTGCATTCCCCACATGTGCACTGTCATGAAGCTGCTGTGTGTACATCATTCAAGCATGCACACATGCAGGCGGACCTCAAGGCCAGCACCTACATTCGCGAGAAGGAGGCCGCGGAATTCTTGGCTGAGAAAACGGAGCTATCCGAGATCATCGACACGCTCGAGCGGGCCATTGGCCTCCTGGAGAAGCACGGCGCCTCGATGCTGCAGCTCCGGTCGGCCAGCACCGTGGCCGACGCCCTCGCCGTGATGGTCAAGGCTGGAGGGTTTCTCCGAAGGGCTTAGGCGACCCGTCCTCCTCCTCCTCCTCCTCGTCCTCCTCCCTCCTCCTCCCTCCTCCTCCCTCCTCTCTCCTCCTCCTCCTCCTCCTCCTCCACCTCCATTTCCCCCTCCCCCTCCCTCTCGTCCTCCTCCTCCTCCTTCTCCTCCTCCTCCTCCTCTTCCTGCTCCTCCTCGGGTCGCCTACGGCCCGGGGGGAAACCGTGCAGTCAAGGCGTCCATGTTCAGCTCCGCCGACGCCGGCAAGCTGAACGCCTTTGTGCAGCAGGGCTCGGAGGACTCGTCGCAGGTCAGAGGAGGGCGGGTGGAGGCAACGGCGGCTGGCCCTCGGGGGGCCCCTCGTCGCCACGGCTGGCGCAGCTCGGAAGGCTGGCGCGTTCGGGCCCCAGGATGGGTCCAGGGATCGATTTTGAGCCGCCGTTGTTTCGCCCCGCCCTGCTCCGAGAAGAGAACGAAGCATTGGCACAGGCACAAGCGTTCGGAGGCCCGTGCGGATGGATGTCTTGGGGCGCCAGGGGCGGCGCCAGCGGCGGCGCGAGGGGGTGCTGCGCCGATCCGGGCACTTCGGCCGGACCCCCAAACGCCCAGGTTTGCGCAGGTTCTTGTTCTTTGAAATCAGCGGGCGAAGCACGGCACAACCACATTTTCATTTCGGCGTCGTGGACGTCTGCCTCAGGGCGGCTGGAAAATTCACCCCGAGGGTGGCACGCGGGGGTATACACACTCAAGCCGCCTCGGGGCAGGCGCCTGCGGCGACACAGCAGCTCATTTTTACCGTCCTTCGTCTGCTATGAAGGTAAGTCGGGCTTGTCCCCTCTACAGGAGGAGTATTCCAGACATAGTTAGAAAATAGTGGGGGGACGACTTGTCGAGTATTTATGACAACTTTTGAGCTTTAGTAGACGGTTTGTTTCGTCAAGGACGGCGGTGACAACATGGGGGCACCGTCCGCCGCGGTGTACGAGGGACACTCGGCTGGCATCGTCGCCACCCTGACGGACCTCCTGGAGAAGGCCCAGGCGCCAGGGCTGGACCCGAACGCTGCTGTGCTGGACTTCGGCCGTGCTTTGTTTTTCCCGTTCTGGCAGGGAGGTGCAGGAAAACGGGCAGAGCACAGCGAACAGCAAAACGAAACCAAGACGAGCAACAACGGTGAGGTCCAGCCCTGGCCCAGGCGCAGCTGCAGGGTGCCTCGAGCACCGAGACGGGCAGCCTGCACGCCTTCCAGCAGCTCAAGCAGTCCATCGAGGACGAGATCGCCTACGGCGAGAAGGAGCTGGCGGAGGCCAAGGCGGGAATCGCGGCGAGCGGCGAGAAGAAGGCCACGGCTGAGGGCGACCTGGCGAGCACGACCGCGGATCTCGGCACGGACGCGAAGACCAAGGCGGACCTGCACCAGGAGTGCATGACCAAGGTGCACGGGGGCGGCTGAGGGGAACGGGGGAGGAGGCTGACGAGTGACGAGGAGAGGGGTGGGGGAGGAGTGAGGAGTGGGCAGAACGGATGAAGATGATGACGCTGTCGTTGATGATGATGGCGATGATTGTTAGGGCAAGTCTCGTGTTGGTGATGATGGTGGCGATGATGGTGATGGTACTGGTTGTGATGGTGACGTTGTTGGTGGTGATGGTGAGGATGACGATGGTGATAGATATGCTGGTGATACTGTTTAACCTGCTGATTCTGATGATGGGCATGCTCAGGATTATGATGGCTAACATGGTGATCATGTTGTTGATGCTTGGAGTTTGGCACTGGTGACGGCGATGATAATCATGATGCTGGTGATGGTGACGGTGATGGTAAATGGTGATGTTGGTGATGGTGACGGTGATGATGCTGGTGAGTATGATGGTGACGGTTGTGACGATGATTCTGATGCTGGTGATGCTGATGATGGTGATGATGATGAGGCTGTCGACGACGATGGTTGTGATGACTACGATCATGATGCTGCTGCTGCTGCTGCGGCTGCTGGTGCTGCTGCTGTCGAAGATGATGCTGATGCTGCTATTGATGATGATGATGATGATGATGAGGATAATGAGGACGATGATGATGCTGCTGCTGATGATGACGATGATGATGATGCCGACGACGACGATGATGATGATGAGGCAGATGGTGGTGATGGTGATGCTGTTCTTGAATATATGGTGGTGGTGATGATGCTGGTGACGATGACGACGACGTTGCCACTGACGATGCCGATGCTGGTGGCCATGACGATGCCGATGATGACACTGACGGCGATGCTGATGATGATGATGATGATGATGATGAGGGTTATGATGCTTATGCTGATGATGACGATGCTGATGATGATGAAGAACATGATGATGATGCTAATGATACTGATGATGTTGATGATGACGACGATGATGCCGATGATGATGCTGATGATGATGCTGATGATGATGATGATGATTATGATGATGATTATGATGCGGATTATTCCGATGACGATGATGATGATGATGATGATGATGATGATGACTATTCTGATGATTTTGATGCTGCTCCTGGTGATGATGCTGCTGCTGGTGATGCTGATGATGCTGCTGCTGATGATGAGGACGAGAACGGTGACGATGCTGATGTTGTTGTTGTTTTTGATGTTGATGCTGATTTTGATGTTGATGATGCTGTTGCTGATGCTGATGCTGCTGTTGTTGTTGATGACGATGGCGATGGTGACAATGATGATGAGGAGGAGGCGGAGAAACATGACGATGCTGACGTTGATGATGATGACCATTCTGTTGATGTTGATGTTGATGATGCTGATGCTGATGCTGAGACTCATGCAGCTGTTGATGCTGCTTGCTGCTGCTGATGATGATGCTGATCATGCTGCTGATGATGATGATGCAGATGATGATCATGATTATGATGATGAGGAGGAGAAGGAGGAGAAGGATGATGATGATGATGATGATGATGACCATGATGTTGATGTTGATGTTCATGCTGCTGATGACGATGATGTCGATGCTGCTGATGATGATGCTGATGCTGATGCTACTGATGATGATGACGATGATGATGCTGCTGATGATGATGATGGCGATGCTGCTGTTGATGATATTGATGATGCTGATAATGATGATGATGCTGACGATGCTTATGCTGCTGCTGATGATGCTGATGATGATGCTTATGATGATGATGCTGCTGGTGATTATTATGATGATGCATATGATGATGATGATGATGATGATGCTGATGCTGATGCTGATGCTGATGCTGATGCTGATGCTGATGCTGATGCTGATTATGATGATGATGATGATGATGATGATGGTGGTGGTGGTGGTGGTGGTGGTGATGATGATGAAGAAGATGCTGCTGATGATGATGATGGTGCTGGTGGTGGTGATGATGATGATGATCATGATGATGCTGCTGATGATGATGACGATGATGACGATGATGATGATGATGCTGATGATGGTGATGATGATGATGGTGATGATGATGATGAGGCTGCTGATGATGATGCCGATGATGATGCTGACGATGATAATGATGGTGATGCTGATGGCGATGACGACGGTGATGATGATGCTGACGATGATGATGATGATGATGATGATGATGATGATGCTGATGATGATGATGATGATGTGGATGATGATGGTGGTCGTGGTGGTGGTGGTGATGATGCAACGGCTGCTGCTGATGATGATGATGTTGATGATGCCGATCATGATGACGATGATGCTGATGCTGATGATGGTGCTGATGATGATGCTGCTAATGATTACGATTATGATGATGAGGCTGATGCTGATTCTGATGATGATGCTGCTGACGACGATGATGATGCTGATGACGACGACGACGACGATGATGATGATGATGATGATGCTGGTGATGATGACGATGATGGTGATGATGATGATGGTGATGATGATGCTGATGATGCTGATGTTGATGCTGATGCTGCTGTTGTTAATGATGATATGTTGCTGATGATGATGATGATGATGATGATGACCATGATGATGATGATTATGATGATGATGTTGATGATGATGATGAAGGATAAGAAGATGATGATAATGCTGGTGATGATGATGATGCTGATGCTGATGCTGATGCTGATGATGATGAAGCTGATGATGATGATGATGATGATGATGATGATGATGATGATGATGATTAGGATGATGATGATGATGATGAAGCTGATGATGATGATGATGATGATGATGATGATGAGGATGAGGATGAGGATGAGGATGAGGATGAGGATGAGGATGAGGATGAGGTGAGGATGGCTGATGAGATGAGATGAAGGATGAGATGAGGATGAGGATGGGATGATGATGAGGATGATATGATGATATATGATATGATGATGTGGATGATGATGATGATGATAGATGATGATGATGATGATGATGATTATACTATGATGATGATGATGATGATGATGATGATGATGATGATGAGGATGGAGGAAGGAGGAGGAGGAGGAGGCGAGGAGGAGAGGGGGAGGAGCAGGAGGAACAGGAGCAGGAGGAACAGAGCACGAGGCATGAGAAAAGAAGGGTAGACAACAAAAGGAGGAGGAGAGGAGGAGGAGGAGGAGGAGGAGGAGGAGGAGCATGGTGTCGAGGACCCAACCGCAGGTCCAGATCTGGGCCTGCGACTGGAGGAGGGCAAGGTCCAGGAGGACGGGCAGGGGGGAAAAGGAATCGGGGGGGGGGAGAAGGGCAGGAGAGAGGGGGAGAAGGGCGGTGACGGCGGAAGTGCACGGCCGAGGCGCAGGAGTTCGAGTCGGAGGTCAAGTCTCGCGCCGAGGAGCTGAAGGCGCTGGCGGAGGCGAAGAAGGTCCTCGTCGACAACACTGGGGCGGCGGACTCCCTGTCTTACGGCCTGAACCAGGTCTCCCCGAGGGCAATGGCCGCGTCGGGGAGACACAGATACCATCAGCTCGGAGCTCGGAGGAGGAGGAGCAGGAGCAGCAGAAGGGGGAGGACGATGACGATGGAGGAGGTAGACGCGGTAAATGAGGAGATATGAGGAGGGCGAGGCTGGAGGAAGGAAGAGGAGGAGTAGGAAAAGAGGACGAGGGAGAGGAGAAGAGGCTTGATGACTTTTCTCCAATTGACGTGATGAATCCAGGCAGGTCGAGGTGCATCCAAGAGAATCCAGGTACTTTTATACAGATCTTCAGTCAACTCTGGAGCAAATCGTGGAAGCTTCGGGGCGAGTCGATGGACAGCAGAAATCATCATGCCCTGAACGACCAGGTCTCGCTCCTCCAGAAGCTCACCTCCAGCACCGACCTGGCCCACTTCGAGGCCGTGCGCTTCATCAGGGACCTCGCTCGCAAGCAGAACTCCAAGGTTCTCAAACTATGGAAAACAAGATCAAACACAGCTTGTGTAGAACACGATAAACACATAAAGTTACGAATAGTCGGTGTGTGTGTGTGTACAGATCTATGTATTTATATCTATATCTATATGCGTATCTATATCTATACATATATATAAAGCCCTATCCATACATGTGCCGAACTGTGAGGCCCTCGCGCAGCTCGCCTCCCGGATGGCGACGGCGGTGCGGATGAGCTCCGGCGGGTCCGATCCGTTCTCGAAAGTGAAGGGCCTCATCAGGGACATGATCGAAAGCCTCGAGAAGGACTGGCGAAGAAACGAAGGGCATACACGCAAACTGTGGAGCTCCGTGCGGCGGATCTCTGGGATCTGTGCTGGAGCCCCCTGGCGGCGCCTCTGGCGCCGCCTCTGGCGCCGCCCCTGGCGCGCGGAGCGCGCCGGGCAGGGGATCCAGGAAATCTGCGCGGACCTCCGACAGTTTAGGCTTATGCAGATTTTGGTCCCTTCAGGAGGCGGGGGCAGACGCCAAGCACAAGGCCTACTGCGACAAGGAGATCGCGTACGCCGACGAGAAGAAGGCCAATCGTGTCTCCGAGATCGAGAAGCTCACGACTTCGATCGACCAGATGTCTGCGAGGTCCGCACAGCTCAAGGAGGAGGTCGCCGCCCTGGAGAAGTCCCTGGCGGACCTGGCCGCCTCCCAGGCGGCAATGGACAAGCTTAGGGCCCAGGATCCACCGTCAGAGTGCATGATCCATGCCCATTGCTTCGCAGTCATGCCCCTGGGGGTCTCGCGGAGTGCGTCGGAGAAGAAACAATGTCATAAGCATACACGTTCGGAGATCAGCGCGGATCTCTTGAATCGGCTCTGGACCTCCCTCGGAGCGCGCCAGGGGCGGCGCCATGGGGGTGCAGCGAAGATAAAAAGAGTTCTGCGCGGAGCTCAGACACTTTTTGATGATCCAGCGCGGATCCGAGAACTCCACGCGGACCTCCGAAAGTATACTGTCAAAGTGAGGTAGCCCGAACGGTCTTGCTTCATCCATGGGCGTTCGTGGCTGGTGTGGGCTCGTTTCTGCTCGATGGGCGAGTCGTGGGCGGGGGTCCTGAGCGGGGGGTCTTGGGCGGGAGGTGGGGGTCCTGGGCGGGGGTCCTGGGCGAACGCTTGCGGCGCGAACGTCGCTGCACCCTCACTCTTATCCGCCAGTGCGGGGTGCTACGTTATGCCGTTTTTTCTCCGAGTGCCAGATGTGGATGCGTGCCCGCCCCTGCGCACGGTACACGCAGGTGTCCACACCCACAGTTCCCGAGGGCCCCAGGGCGGACCCCGCGGGAGGAGGGGGAGGAGGAGGAGGAGGAGGAGGAGGAGGAGGAGGAGGAGGAGGAGGAGGAGGAGGAGGAGGAGGAGCAGGAGGACGAGGAGGAGGAAGGCGAGGAGGAGGCGGAGAGGAGGAGTAAGATGGATGGCGGTGGAGGCGTAGAGGAGGAGAAGAGAAGGAGGAGGAGGAGGAGGAGGAGTCGGAGGCGTAGGCGGAGGCGGAGGCGGAAGTGGCGGCGGCGGCGGCGGAGGCGGAGGCGCAAGCGGCGGAGGATGAGGAGGATGAGGAGGAGGAGGAGGAGGAGGAGGAGGAGGAGGACCAGTGGAAACCCAAGAGTCATCAACGATGTTGGAATTCACCCTCCTTCCAAGCTCCCTCTTCATAGGCCCCTACAACGTTTCATTTCCATTGAGGGAACTGCCCCGCTGGAAGACAACATTATGAAGATCCTGAAGAGTGCCAAAACATTGTTCTCGGGATTTCAACGCCACGTCTCAAACGGACTGCTGCGTCTTGACGATCCAGAATCGTGCCATAATGATTTTTGGGACTTCGACACAGCGAATCAACATAACTGTTGCGCCCGCATAACCCCGAATCCTTCTAAAGGACGATGTCTGGTACATTGACCATGGGAATCCTTCTAAAGGACGAAGTCTGGTACGTTGCAATTTTTATAAACGAATGTGCGCGGCGCTAAGGCGAGAACCACATTTTGAAAAGGGACCGCCTTCAATCCGTGAAGCTTTTGCAAATTTGCAGGACGAATGTGCGCGGCGCTAAGGCGAGAGCGACATTTTGAAAACCACCCGATTTCAATCCGTGACACTCTTGCAAATGTTTAGAACGAATGTGCGCGGCGCCAAGGCGAGAGCCACATTTTGAAAACCACCTGCCTTCAATCCGTGAAGCAATTGCAAAACAATTGAAAATTAACCTGGCGAAGGACCCAACCATTTGCAGTTGTGAATACCGCCATGTGCATGTAATCTTCGCCCGCGCTCCCTATGTGGCCACGAACCGTGTGAGGGGCGTGCCGACATGCGTGGCGGGGTACACCACGCGAGCACAGACGATCGGTCTGAGTGCTAGAGACTGAGAGCGGGTGAGCCTGAGCGCGAGTGCGTCTGATTGTGAACGAGTCTGCGTGCTCATCAGTCTACGTGCGTGAATGTCGACGACCATGTCGGCACGCTCCTCACGAAGATCGCGCCCGCTTCCTTCGCGTTATTTGTTTTTCCCCCTCCCGTGCGCGCCGATGTCCACGGCATGCGGATCCGGCTCCTGGATGCGCTCGACCTCACGAGCGGCCTTGGCACATTGTCGTGGACCCGCGGGAGAGGGGCGACGTCGACAAGGCCGAGAGAGACGGGGAGACGAGGATCTATCTGAAGCACTTGCCGCTGGGGTTCTGGGTGCACATGGAGAAGTACTCGAGCGCGCCCTTCGTGGACGACCTGAAGCGCCACGATGACAGCCTCACCGGGAAACCTCACGGGCCCGCTGGTGTTCATCGAGCCCCGTACGTCGGAGCCGTTCACCTTCCGCGCCTCCAAGGTCACCCGGACGGGCTTCCCGTTTTCGCACGGCAGGGTCATCCCCACGGTGGCGTGCCAGGGGCGCGCCATGCGGGACGGCGACGGGGCGGGGGAAAAGCGCTCTGGGGCAGTTTACACCCAGACCTGCTGGGCGGGAGCAGTCCGCAGCCAAACCTTCTCTCGGGCCCGTGGACTCTCGCCCTGGGCCGTCGGCTGTCCGGCGCGCTGCTCCCTCGGCCGACATCGCCCAGGCGTGGTCCTGGACTGCGGCCGCCGCGAGGTGGGGAACGGCGAGGAGGGCGACGACTGGTGGCTGGAGCTCTACGCGTTGCTCTCGCGCGCCACGCGCCACCCTGCGGGGGGCGGGGGGCGGCGTGCAGACCCTGCCGCTGGGGCCTTCGGTGAAGCTCCCTATGGGGCCGCGAAACGTGTGAGGGGTGTGCCGAAATGGGTGCGGGGGCGGCGTGCGGGCGCAGCCGCTGGGGCCTTCGGCGGAGCTCCTATGGGGCCGCGAAGCGTGAGAGGGGTGTGCCGACATGGGCGTGCGGTGGGCGGGGTGGACGCGTGCGAACTGTGCCGCTGGGGCTTTCGGTGGCGCTCCCTATGGGGCCGCGAACCGTGTGAAGGGGTGTGCCGAAATGGGCGCGCGGTGCGCGGGGACGACGCATTCTAACTGCGCCATTTGGGTTTTCGGTGGAGCTCCCTACGGGGCCACGAACCGTGTGAGGGGTGCGCCGATATGGGCGTGCGGTGGGCGGGGGGGGCGCGTGCGAACTGTGCCGCTGGGGCCTTCGGTGGCGCTCCCTATGGGGCCACGAAGCGTGGTGTGTGTGTGTGTGTGTGTGTGTGTGCCGAAATGGGCACGCGGTGGGCGGGGTGGACGCGTGCGAATTGTGCCACCGGGGCCTTCGGTGGAGCTCCCTCTGGGGCCGCGAACCGTGTGATGAGTGTGCCAAATGGGCCTGTGGTGGGCGGGGGGGACGCATGCGAATTTTGCCAACGGGGCTTTCGGTGGAGCTCCTTATGGGGCCACGAACCGTGTGAGGGGCGTGCCGAAAAGGGCCTGCGGTGGACGGGGAGGACGCGTGCGAACTGCGCCACTGGGGCCTTCGGTGGAGCTCCTTATGGGGCCACGAACCGTGTGAGGGGTGTGACGACATGGGCGGTGGGGACGATGATGATGGCGATGATGATTGGGAGGATGTGGATGAGGATGATGCTGCAGATGATGGTGCTGATGGATGATGGGTGATTGTAATGATGGTGACGATGGTGTGGGGAAGGGGAGGGGATGATGATGATGATGATGATGATGATGATGATGATGATGATGATGATGGTAATGATGATGATGATGATGATGATGATGATGATGATGATGGTGATGGGAGGGGAGGAGGGGGAGGAGGAGAGGAGGAGGTGGGACACGTGGCGCTGTCTCTTCAAAACGAGGACTCAACACCACAGGATGGTTGGAAATGAATGTGCGCGGCGCTAAGGCGAGAGCCGCATTTTGAAAACGGCCCACCTTCAATTCGTGAAGCTCTTGCAAATTAGCAAAAACGAATGTGCGTGGCGCTAAGGCGAGAACCACATTTAGAAAACCACCCGCCCTCCATCTGTGAAGTTCTTGTCATTTTGAAACTTCAGAATCATAATTGGTGAGGAACTCTCGGGCAAAACGCCCGGCCCGCCCCAAAAAATGGCTTCCGGGTGCGACAGGGGGAAATAATATATCAGGAGAAGGAAGGGACGAGGAGGAAGAGGAGGAGGAGGAGGAGGAGGAGGAGGAGGAGGAGGA